TCCTAAGTCTTGTTCATCAAACTCTATCACTAGTCTACTTTCATCTGGTCTAGACGAGAATGAACGAGATACACGTATTCCTTTTTCAAGTCGACATAGAAATGATTCTGGTTCATCAATAAATTCGATCCAGTCGATAAGTTCAACACAATCGATGAATATAAAACCGAAACTATGCTTTAACGGACTTAAATGTTTTAATGTAGACTGTACATTTGATCATCCAGATGGATGGAATCCTTGCATTGATGGAATAAAATGTGAAAATTATGAATGCATAGCCAATCATCCATATAAACGAAAAGGAACATGTCGAGATGGTATGAATTGTAAAAGTAGTAACTGTAAATTTTTACATCCTAATACACGTGCTACGGAATGTCCTTTGCGTGCAAAATGTCAAAAATGGAATTGTTCAAAGATGCATCCACGCTCTCGAGCTCGTCCTTGTATCGATAAAGAAAATTGTACGAATCTGACTTGTTTATGTTTACATCCACTAGAACGTGCTAAATTATTATGTCCACTTGGAGCTGATTGTCGTGATCTTTCCTGTAAACTCAATCATCCATCGGAACGCCCACCAATATGTGATCAATCAGATGCATGTTCAAACTTTAATTGTACTCGTCTACATAGAGAAAATTGGAATCCATGTGAAGCAGGAGATGATTGTGAAGATGAACATTGTTCAAAAATTCATTCACCTGAACGTATTATCAATCGTCAAGAGAAATCAGCAACGACGACTATGTATAATAAAAATAGATATAAAAAACCAAAGAAGAACTTAAAAACGCTTGAACAAAGATTGAAAGATTGGGAGAAAGCTAATTTACCTATTTTCTCTTGTCGATCTGAATTTTGTCAACGTCTTGAACATGAACATGTTTTAGTTGTGACTGCTGAAACAGGTAGTGGTAAGAGTACTCAATTACCTCAATATGCTGCTGAACATTTTGGATCACTTGTCGTTTGTACTCAACCACGTGTTGTTGCTGCTCTTTCTTTGGCTCGTCGTGTTGCAGAAGAATATGATGGAAAGTCAGTAGGTGAATCAGTTGGATACCAGGTGGGTAATGCAAATCGAGTATCAGGATCCAGTATTATGTTTATGACTGATGCTGCACTTATTCGTGAGAGTCAACGTGATCCCAGTTTGAAACACATACGTGTTCTTATTATTGATGAAGCGCATGAACGTTCGTTGAATACAGATATTATTATTGGCATTTCTAAACTTTTACTTGCACAACGTCGCGATGATTTTTATGTGGTTATAGCTTCAGCTACTATTGATCCTGCTCGTTTTCTTCAATTTTTCGGTCAACCAACAAATGCACCTCTCGAAGTGAAAGGACGAATCTTTCCTGTTACCATGATTAATAAGCCACTACCTGTTAAATGTTCAGATCAAAAATTAATTGAATCACATATTGTTTCTTCGGTTATTGAATCTTATCCGAAACATGAAGGGCATACGCTTGTTTTTCTTCCTGGTCAAGGTGAAATTGAAAAAGCACTTAAAATATTTAAATCAAAACTTCCTGATGATTGTATTGCTCTTCCACTTTATGGATCACAATCACCAGAAGAACAAGAAAAAGTTATTAATTTTAATGAAAAAGGAAAACGAATGGTCGTTTTTTGTACAAATGTTGCTGAAACATCATTAACCATTCCAAATGTTCGATTAGTTATTGATTCAGGTTGGGCAAAAGAAGCACGTTATGATGTTCAACGTCGTCTTACTGTCATCGAAACTGTTCGTATTTCACGTTCATCAGCTGATCAACGTAAAGGTCGAGCTGGACGAACTGCATCTGGTCATTGCATACGTTTATTTGAAGATATTGAATTAAAACGACCAAATATTGAACCAGAAATTTTACGATCATCACTTGATCTTGTTTTACTTCAACTCATTCGACTTAATCTCGATCCAAAAACATTTCCATTTATGGATCAACCAAAAAGTCATGTTATTAATAATTCTATTGATCTTCTTACTAGACTTAAATGTATGGATAATCAAAAGATTACAAAAAGAGGTGAATTATTTACTGAACTTGGACTTGATCCACGTCTCAGTGCTTTTATAGTTGAAATTTACACAGAATATGGAAGTTTATTAGAATATGTAGCAGCTATTGTTGCTATACTTTCAGCACCGGGCACTGTTTTCTTCATGGGTGGAGCGAAACAGGAAGCAAAAAACCGTATTGCTCTTGATGCACACAAACATAAAAGCGACCTAATTCATCTTTATTCAGTGTACAATGCATGGAAGAATGCTGGTACAAAAGAAACTCAAAGTAAATGTTCAGAATGTAAGAAACAAATAAAATGGTGTATATGTCGAGTTAAATACAGTAATGATAATGGTTTAAATAATAAAATCTTACAAAATATTGATGCTTCATGTACATCAATTACAAAACAAATTAAAGATGCTCGTTGGTTAAAATCTGGTAATGAAATGCCAGAAAATTTAATAGATATTATTGGTATACGACTTGCTCAACTCTTTCCTGAACAATGTGGTTATTTATTAGTTCCACAATTACCAGTTGAAGGTGTACGTCTAATATCAACTGATATTCGTGCAAATATTACTAATACTAGTGTATTTATGCAAAAACTTCATACTGATTCAAATAATGAACTTTATCAACATTTTGTTGCTATGACAATCACTCAATTATCATCAGGAAATTATATTATTGAAAGACTTCATCCAATACCTAAAATGTTAGCAACAGTTCAATCATCAATGCAAAATTTGATGACTATTGAAAATATTAGTTCTGATTTATTTCATCATATGCGACAAAAATTAAATGTTTATCAAAAAGAATTATGGGCAAAATGGCTTGTTTATCAATATGATAGACCTCATTGTCGTTTTATTCTTTGGGGTCTTAATATTGATAAATCAACTATTATTCCTATTGTACAACGTATTCAAAATGAAACAATGAAAAAATTTTTAGATACATATGAACTAATTGAGTGTGGACCAATTAAAGCAAATTTTCAAAGTGGTCTTATATGTACACATATTAATAAAATGACAAATACATTACGGATTGATCTTCAAAATATACCAAATCAATCAGTTAATGAATTAAAAAACTGGTTAAAAAAGATTATTAATATAGAATGGGATGAGATTAAAGAACATGGTTTTTATATGAAAAAAGATGAAATAAATAAAAATGATCAAAATAAATATTTGTATCTTATTTTTAAAAATGAAGATGCATTTCAACGAGCTTTAAATAAAGTTCCTCCTTATTATATTAATGAACAAGGTAATAATTTTGGAATTCATCGAGATAATGAAAAAGAAAGATGGGGTCGAGAACTTGTTATTCAAACTCCTGGTAATATTACTGTTCAAGATATTATCAATCGATATGGTACAGATGTAATAGTCAAATGTATACAATTAAACAAACAAAATGAAAAATCACGTATAGAATCATCACTCAAATTAAATAATTTACCATTAACAAGTGATGAGAATTTCTTACGAGAATGTCTTCAAATGAATAAAGGACCTATTCCAAAACATATCTATGTTGGACGTGCAAAGAATGATGCAACTGGATGGGCAAAAATAACATTTAATAATGAAGAACAACGTAATCAAGCTGCAGCTATTTATAATATACAATTATGTCAAAATTCATTTCCAATTACTATTTCAGGAAAAAAAGGTCCAACACAAAAATTCATACAAACTACAGTTATAAAAGATGATGATGCTAATACTACTCAATTACATTCACTTCCTAAAAATCTTTTTCGTATTACAGTTATTAGTCGTGAAGATACTTTACAAATATTCTCTTCGCAAACAAAATCTCCAATAGCAACCTCTATGGATTCATCAACATGGACAATCGATAGTTCAGCAACAGTAACTATTCTTCAAACTGATTTATATCCTGATTTTCAAGAAATTGTTGATCGTATATGTGAAAAATTTAATGTACAAGTTACATCGAAAAATATATCAAATCATGGTAAACGATATATATTTAATCATGGAAGTCCTCAAAAAACAAGTTTAGCTGCTTCAATGCTTGCACAAAATTTTGCTCCAATGAATATTAAATTAAATACAGATCGACAAAAACAATTATTTAATGAACTTGAAGAAATTGGTCAAATTCAAAAATGGGCATATGAATTAATATTAGCTATTAGTAAAAATAAATGGAATACAAATATTGAAATTCGTGGTCCACAAATAGCACAAGGACAATTAATGCGACGAATAGCTGATTATTCAGATAATTTTAATAAACGTTTTCGTGAACATGAACTTAGTTCAACAATAGCTGCATTTTTTGGTAGACAAAAAGCTGCTTCAATTAAATTACAACAAATTACTTCAAAATGGTCATCAAAATCTTGTTTAGTATCTTTTATTCCAAAAACATCAACTATTATTATTACGGGTAAACCAAAAGTTTCATTAACTGATATAAATGATTGTGAAAATGAAGTTATTCAACTTTTAAATGAAATAACTGCTACAACATATGATAAAGAAAGTGAAGAAGAAGAAGAAGAAGAAGATGACGATGATGTAGAAGAAAACGATATAGAAACTATTGAAACAATACGACAAGATCGTCGATGTGTTTTTTGTAAACAAAAATCATCAATTTCAACAAGTTTTTTTCGTATATGTGGTCATGCTTATTGTCGATGTGCTGCACAAATTCTTAGTACATCGAATAAATTTCCTCTTCAATGTAAAGAATGTAATTCAAATATTCATATTCGTGATATACAAATTATTTTTAATAATGATGAACAATTATTAATGCATTTACTTAAAAATTCTATTCAAAATTATTTAACAATAAATGCACAACAAGATGATCGTGTCTTTTGTCCTAATAATGAATGTGATGGATTAATTAAACTCAATCGTGCCTATCAAACTTGTTTAACATGTGGTCAAAATGTATGTCCTAAATGTCAAGTAATTAATGATGAACTTCATATAGGTCGAACATGTCATCAACTTATTGAAGAAAAGAAACGTCGTCAAGAATTTTTACCACAATTATTTATAACAGCAAAAAAATTTGTTGAAGATAATTGGCCATTAGATGTTGCAATGCAACCAATAGGTCGAATTGATGAAAATCCTTATCTTGTAAAACAATATAAATCATTAACACGATTTTATACAGGTATTAAAACATTAGGTCATCCTTTTCCACCAGATTTAGCAAAAGGTTTTTTTGCTTATCATGGTTGTCCATTTCAAGCTATTCAATCAATCTGTCAAACTGGTTTTGATCCAAAACGTCGTTCAGGTCAAGCGTATGGTCGCGGTGAATACTTTGGAGTGACAGCAAGTATTTCACATGGTTATTCTCA